GGCAGGAAAAGATATTACCAGAGCGTGATGTGCGTGAGCAAGTGCTGGAAGATCAATTCAAAATAGATTGTAAAAGATAAGATATGCAAGACGGCAAGATTACGACTACGACAAGTTTTGAATGCTGATAAATGAAATGTGTGTCGCCAGTAACTGAAATCCGATTGCCATTTCGTGTCACGACACGGACTCAGCATTATTATGAGCATTCGATATTCAAGTTTCGCAAGCGCCGCATAAATGATGATTTTTAATGAGCAGACGTCTGCCGAAGTCGTCGCCGCCATCATTAAAAAAATGTGCAAGCTTCGACTTTGATGATTGATTGAGTTCAAGTTACAGTTGGCTGCATACCGTATGCAATTGAGGTGAGGGGCCTGCTGCCATTAATTGCACCTGAAAGCGTACTGCAATAAATTTGCTTAATCAAACTATTTAGGCGCTGTATGTCTGTCACGCAGCGGAAGTCAAGCTGACGTCATGGCCATTAGAGACGATGACGTGAACGAGTACGAGTACGATGACGATGACGATGACGAGAAGCGCATCGGGAAGGTGAGCACATGTGTTGTATGCTTATAGGCGCTGGCCAGACGACAACGACAACGACGACGACGACACACATAATCCTAATTAATTGCCAGCATTGAGCTACAGCAACATTGCAAAGCTGTACTCACTTGTGCTGTAATTCGAATGCATCACATTGCTGGCATCCTAGCCGACTCGTATTCTGCCGCCTGGCAGGTGCACGTGAGCACTTCGTGCGCACCATTTAGTCGCCTAGTGTGGCACGAGAGAAGGGGCAGCAGCAATGGGAGTGGAAGAACGAGCCTGCCACCGTTCATTGCGTTTCATGCCACTGCGCCATTATTTCCTTTTGATTTGCTTTTGGCTGCAAAAGTTGGTGGCGTGTTGAATGGCGCCCAACGTGGGCGCATTTCATGCACTTGGCTGAGCTTTCAAGTTGCTTAACACGTTTGATGTTTGCAGCAGCAGCCGCTGCTCACTGCGTTTTGTCGTCTCTATGTGTGTGTTTGTCTATATGTATGTGTATGTGTCTGTGTGTGTGTGTATGTGCTTGTGTGCGCTGCCATAAACTTTAATGCCTGCAGCGAGTGTGACACATGGTCGACTACGCGACTAACGTTCAATAGGGTGCAGTAAGTGCAAGAACTAAAAGACACAAGAAATGCAGTCGTTGGCAGTCCTTGTAATGTATGAGCCTACTAAGTTGGATAGCAAGACGCTTCTATTGCTGCTAAGAAATAACTTTAAAGCCTTAGAGAAAAGCAATTGCAGTAAAAAGTGTCATTTTCATATTTCCCTTAAGACTTAAAAAAGTCTTAAAACTTTAGTAGAGGCCCAGCGATAATTCGCAATTCAATAATTGAATTGCAAGGCCAAAAGTAAACGTTATCTTGATAGGACAATTATTTGTTCTGTATACAAAATGATTAAATAAGCTATTTACTGATTAATCTATTCTTTCAACATCTATGTAAGACTGAGTGTTTAAACTATTATCAGATAATGTTCAGAGAATTTTGTTGCATTTCTCTAACTTAACGAACTATTATCTATAAATTTTAATACTCTCTTAAATCTACTTCGATTTGCATTTCAATAAGTAATAAAATTTATATACTTTTTAATTTGTAACTTCTTCCATTATATTTCAGGGCTTTCGGTTACGAAAAGCGCAAGACCAAACAGTTCAACTTTCAAAGCAGAAGGCTGGGAGCTGGCAAACCCCAAAGACCTAAAGCAAAGCACAAGAGAAAAATGGCAAAACTTTGGCCACTTGAAAGACAGCAAAGGCGACGCTCAAGAGCCAAAAGGGATGGACAATTAAGGCGATTGAGAGCGAACGAGAGAGATGGAACAAAGAGTTCGTTTTAAATATGCCGCAATAATCGAAGTTAAAGTCGAACATCAATGGCAGTCGCTGAAGGAAGGCTGCCAAAGCAGTTGCTGAAATGGGACAGAGCAGCATTTGCTGATGTTGCCCGGGGGCCAGTCATAGCAGACCCCAAAAAAGTATGCAACACGATTTTAATTAGTTTTGAAAAGTATTTTAATTTTTGCAATTTGTGTGTGCCACACGGCGGCAGCCGGAGCCGCCGCAGAAATCTTTTGCCAATTGCCAAAGCAATTGTTTGTAGTCCCCCCACCCCACCCATTCCATTCCTTTGACTTCCCGCCAACTTCAAGGAACAAGCGGAAAGCTCGTTTAATGCGGCACTTTAATGATTATTAACATTATTAGTTGTAATGAGCGTCGTCAGCGCGTTTTAAAGTTTGCCGAGCGAAATTTCGACAGCTATTCAAATAATGAATACGTTAAACAAAAGCGAGCCAAACGCAAAAGCAAACCAACAAAATAGGAGAAATGCAAAAACTGTTCAAAAAAAAAAGTAGAATGAGTCAAAAACAAGAAAGAACTGTTATCTTAGGCCGAAGATTATATACCCTTGTAGACCAGAGGTAATCTGCTGATATTTCATTTGCAGTACGATACTCAAAATATGAATTTGATCACGGCTATATATCGATACGAAAACTAGTCTTTCACCGATTGTTCCTACGGCAGCTAAATAATAAAGTGGTCGGACAGACACTTAAAGAGGCAGATGAGCTTTCCTATATCGATTCAGCTCATAATGCTGATCAAGAATATATTCGTAAGCGCTTTTTCTAATAAGTTACAAGTGTCACGACAAACTGAACATTCTTTTCATAAGGGTATATAAATATATCCCAAGCGAAAGTTGAAAAAGTTGGTAAAAATTTTCGCAATTATTTTTCTGTTTTAATGTTATAGTGGGGATACTCCTTTTTTCTTTGTTTTCTGCTTTGAAACAAAAAGTTTGTTTAAACTATGCGGCTGGGGCTGTGTTGAACGGCTCGCAATTCGTTCGTCTGTCTATTCGGACGAGTCTACTCTGCCTACCCGTCAACCCGTCAACCCGTCAGCCCGTCTATTCTGGCCAGTTTAGCGGTTGCGTTAAGCATGCACAAAAGTATGCTTTGATTTTGCGTCCAGCGTTTGACGCTTTGCCTTATTGCGTGAAATTCAGTGTTCGAATTGTTTGCGCTTTGGTTTGTTGGCCAGTTTCGACCAAATTGTTGTATTTTTTCGGCTTTGATTTTGTTTTTTTTTTTTTTGTTTTTGGCCATTTGTTTTTATTTTTTTGGTGCACTTTCAAAAGTTTTCAAATTAAAGCCACGAGATTTGAGCAAAAGTTTAGCTGGCATAGAAATAAAAGTTTTAAGACTGGCCCATTTTATGGAGGGTCGGGTTATTGAAATGATTAATGGCTAAAACTTACGATTGAGTAAAAGGCATGTCACTTACCTAAAACGAGAAAGGAATATAGAAGAAAATTAATAAATTAATTTATTGTTCATGTTACAAAGTTTATTAGCGTAATTTAAAAGAATGTATCGTAATAAATTTAATACATTTCAAAAGATGATATCCTGCAAAATTAAAGTTATTTCGAGAGCAAGCAGATCTAATCAATATTTGTCAATGTTATGCCAGTTTGAAAGACGCCCAATTTGCGGCTCGAATTGCGCTGATGCCGTTGGCAACTATCATGGATGCTGTCGCGTCACTAAAACCCATACACAGGCACATACACACACCCGCACACATACATGAGTTATCCTGCGCCAGGACTTAATTACACACAACTCATTTGCCGCATACAAAAACAAACTCTCTCTGGACGCAAAAGCCAACATGGTCTGGCTCCACATGGGAACTGACAGACAGTATTCAGTGTCGTCGTTGAAATAGAAAACGCAAAAAGGACACAAGCGACGAGGTCATAGCAGAAGCAAAAGCTGAAGCAGACGCCGAAGCAGAAAATTCAACTGAGTTTGAGGCCAGAGAGAGGCCACAATCAGTGAGGCGTGCAACTAACACAGACTTTTGTTTATATGTCATACAAATTACTCATACGTTAATAATTTAAACGGATGGCTGTTGATGATGGCCAGTCAAGACGAGTCCTATCAAGGCGTCGGCAAATTTACTTTGCCAATAAATTCCATACCCCTCGCCAGCACTGTGAAATCAATACGAAATGAAAACCAAATAAGCATTGACTGACTGTCCCTGGCTGTCTGCCTGATGTCCTGTCTAAACATGAAGACAAGCACCTCAAGCTTGTTTACTTTGTGCCCGATAACTTTCATTATCATGCCATAAAATTCATAACCCAAAGCAAAGCTAGACATAAACACAAACGACTATGCAATGTACACACATACGTCTCTGTCTCTGTCAATGTTTAAATATATATACATATATATATATTTATATATTTGTGCGCTAACAAATTCATTAGTTCATCAATAAAACAATACGGCAATCAATATTTTCACATGAGTTTCTGTTTGTACTGGCTTGATAGCTGAGTTATATCCACATACGTAAGATATGTGTCTTTATTTGCTTCCAGTAGATTTCATAGCTAGAAATAAATAACACCAAAATGCTCCGTATTTACTTACATTTGTAAAGCCAAAGGCAGAAATTTTTTTGAAATAGATACATCAGCTACCCCGTGCTTGTGGAAATGTGTTCAGTGATTAGTACAATTTATGGTTGAATTTCGACTAGCAAACGCAGTTTTCAACTTAAAATTTTGAATTTATGTAGAGGTGAATATGATTAAATGACCTGATTTTTGAGAATTTCGAGCACTTTTGATAACGCCATAACATTATAGCCAAGAAGCACTTTTGAGGATGTATTTTTAGCATAAACTTGGAGCCAGAAACATGATAAAAAACTTTAAATATAGCATTAAATTATAGATCAAAGCATGATAATCGATTTTCAAAATCGGTTCAGTTTTTACAAAGTTATGGCAATCGAATATTTTCAAAATTCAATGGTGAATGATTTGTTTAGAATATTCGTGTGAATCTTAATTATTTCCAATATTTTATCTTGACTCTCATCTAATAAAAAGGATTACAGAGGATTATTAGAGGCACATAGAGACATTTTATGAAATTTCATAGAATTCAAAACAAATACAATCTTATTACTCCTACACATGTTTACAATATCTGTGCTGTTAATGGTTATATACACCTAATGGATATGAGATTTCAACGGAATTTATTGGATTTGTTGCTCAGTTTAAGAATCGGAATCATCATCTTGATCCATTGTAAAGTGGAGCCACTTTGCTGCAGAATGCGTTTGACATTCCTCAATAAAGTAGCCCCCCTTAGAGTGGGGCAAGGGTAGCAAAATTCTAGATCCCGGTCTCAACTGTAAAGGTAGCTCAGCGAATTGTCGCATCCTCTTAATAATTGTGGACTCATTTTGAGTTTCTCTAACATCCTCTACATCCGAATCATTTTCGACGGTTGATGCAACAGACTGATGCTGTTGGTTATTATTGGCCATAGCTAGCCGATTTTGCAGAACATTTAAATAGAATTTACTATCAAGACGTTTGGCGAATGGGATACCGAGAGCATCTAGTAAACCACCAATTTCAATTCTGCCTCTTGGGCAGTGCGGACCCAACAGACTGGCTCTTGGGAAAATGGAAGGAGTTACAAATATGCCATCGCTGTGCCTATGCCAGGGAGATACAGTATATTTATTTAATCCATTATCATCTGAATCAGAATCTGAGATCTTGCCTTTTTGTTGGCACTTGCTCGTTAACTGTGGCTGCGGCGCATTTTTCGTTAGCTTCTTTTTCAGTTCCTTTTCTATTTTGCTTTTCTTGGCTTTCTTGTACATCCGTTCAATCTCTGCTGCCTCTCGTTTTATATTTACTTCTTGGGTCTTCTTCAGATTCAGTTCTTGGCGATTTCTTTCTGCTTCCACAAATTTTTTTACATATTCATCGATTTGACACTTTTTACAAAATTTCTCTTCCTTAATCTTGCGTGGAGGCTCCTTGCAACGTTTCCATACAACTGCTTCGCAGCAATTTTCCGCTATTTTTGTTTTTTTGTTATTCATCTCGGTTTCTTTGCATTTTTCATCCAATCTGTCGACTGTTGTTCTAGCTGCTTTGAATAATGTTTTAAATGCACCTTCATGTTGGGATTTACTCTTTATTCTTTCATTGACATTCATTTTGCTTTTATTATGCGGCATTTTCAATTTGTCCTGTTTGATTAACAACTGTTTCTTTTTGATAGATTCTTTCTGATTTTCGATGGCTTCCATGCACTTTCTCTGAAGTATCGAACTGGCTGTGTGGATGTTAGTATTATTCCTTTTGAATTTCTGTTGTAAATTTTGTGCACATTTGGTTTGAAGACGCACTGAATATCTACTCTTTAACATTTCGCATTGCTTGATAATATTATCGATCTCTAATAGTTCATAGTTGATGAAATCGATATCGGTTTGAACGGTATTCGCTTTGCACGCCTTCTTAAATGCTTTCAATTTAAGCTGGTGTTTTAGTAATTCATTTGCTTCTGTACTGAAAGTTTTCATATTCTCATCGTTCATTCCCAGCAATAAATTATTCTCCTCGTTTCGTGTCATATCGATGATGTGATTCTTCTTCGGTTGAGGCACATCCAAGAGTTCTTCTTTTGTGTGGGATTGCACAGAGCGATAGGATGGATCCATGATTATTTTATTTTCTTGTTTCGGTTCACAGTCAGAGTTGCGTACTTTAATTTCAGTTTCTATTTTAGTCTGAGGTAAGTCTCTGCATTCAGTCGGTTTCTCTCTTCTGCTCATTTTATTGTTCTGCTCAGAGGTATGTTGTAGACCCAAATATGTTTGCTGATTGCGTAAATCGTTTCGCTTTTGCATTTCGCTGGTGTATTCAGTTAATCTATCTAGCGTCTTCTCTTTGCGTGGGGAAAACTGTGTGTACATTGGAGTACTATGGCCGATATATTTTTCCCACCGACGCAAATCCATAAGAGCTTCTTCCAATTTTTTGCTAGGCGGCTTCAAGCCCCACAGTTCGGTCGGGTGCTTCTTAACGCTCTTAAGGATCTTGTTGGTGTCAGCTATAAACTCTTCGTCGTTCACTTGGTTTTTGGGAAGCGCCAGATCTTTGAAATTGGGTGAATCATTCGATTTTTGACAACAGCTCTGAGGCAGTGGAGCTTCATGCTCTAAATTGGTCTTTTGATGCGACTTGGGTAAGGTGTCGTCATAGAATTTAATTGCCTTCATTTTGTTGAATAGAAAATTATCTTTCGTACAACAGTTTTTTGCGGCAATATAAGATTCTATCACGGGCCTTTTCAAATGTTTGGTGGAGTTGAGAGGAGGCAGTGTTGGGGCAGTTCGATGATACATTGGATTTGGCATGAATCTCTGTGCAGTTTTTGCTTGACTGAATGATATATCATATTGTGTTGCAGCTTTCCGTAGAGCTTGGGTAGTATCGTCTGGCGGCTTTGATCTGATCTTAAGATACTTAGAATCAGAATGTGACGCAGGCTCTTGAATACAATTCATTGGTGAAGAAACCTCGGGATACTTAATAGTGTATTTTAAGGAAGCATCTTCTCTTACTGCCACTGAATTTACTTTACAGCAAACATCAGTTATCTTGATCGGTTTTTGTTTCTGCGACTTTGGTTTCGCTTCAAGTTCAGTGCACAAGTCTTTGCCAGGAAGCCGATCAGGTTTGGTTTCATAATCACAGCATGCGGTGCTTTCAGGAAACAGATCTGTGTTTTGTCTAGGCTCAAAATCTGTGGGCCGTATAGTATTGGCGGAGCGTTGTCCAATTTGAGTGTCCTTCATCGGACTCCTTACTTTTTTGTGTGGGTGCTTTAAACAAGTCGAGCTAAAAGTATAGCAAGGTCTACACTTTTCTCTTTCATAGTTATCTTCGCTAAATCGCTGTACTGTGTTGTATTTCATTTCTTCAGTCTTCCATGATTTCAACTCGTCTTTTAGTCCTATGACTTTTTTAGTGATGTTGTCGGAAACCTCAAAGTGGTCACTGTCTGATAAAGACGAGTCCTGGCATTCGTAGAATTCCTCACTCTGTTTATTACTTGTCGCACCTTTTAGATCACACAGCATCTGCTTCAAGCGATCAATAAACTTCCTTGAACCTCCACAATACGATGTTTTGATGGGTATTCGTTTGCGGGGCAAATTTCTTCTTTTCGCTAATGAAAAATTGTTAAATTCAGTTTCGCTTCCTGATGGAAAATGTTTACTGGCATAGGCTCCCAATCTTCCCTCACCGAATGATTCACAGCAGGCACTACTTTGTCTTAGTTGATAATCGCAGCTTCTCTGTCGGGACTGATCGATGCTGCTTTGGAAACCCGGTAATGTCTCCATTCGCTTCTGACCGCCAGAACTCTTGCTGGCAGAGTCAGCAAGGCTTGGATAACCGCTATTTCGCAAACTGGGATTGATCTCTGTCGGTAGGTGGCAGCGCTTGCAACCACCTAGAATTTGATGCAGCTGAGTGCAGTTGCAAATGCGCCACATTATCGAAAAAGACCGGATTATTTTCAATTTATGAATTTTGTTCCGAATATTTATGTACTTGTACCTAATTTAAAACAATCAATTTTTTTCTTATTTTTTAATCTGAGATATGTAAATATAATGATTAAAAAGACAAAACATATGCTTTTAGTAAAGATAGATATATAATTTTCTAAAGGTTAGAGAAATTCCAGAAATTCTAGATAAAAGTTTGATTAGTTGACTTCCTGGTGAAATTATAAAGATATCAAAAACCCACGATTAAAGAAAATAAATGTAATAAATGTTTTTTTTATGGGCATTCCCAAGGACAAGGCATTAAATGTCTACAATTGGATTCCATGCTGAGCCTCAAGCAATTTATCAGCCGATTTCTTTAGAGAAGTTTTCTCCCAATTCGATAGAATTGGACGAACGATGCCACAAAGACCGCACTCATTCACAATACATGGCAGTGATAGGAATACCTCCTCTTTAATCCCACACAATCCGGCGGCATTTGTTGATAATGGCATGATGCGATTGCTGTTCTCAAAAATGGCAGACACAATGTGGGCGACACAGACCCCAAGGGCCCAGTTTGTATAGCCCTTGCCCTCTACCACCTCGTACGCCGACCGCACCACATGCTTGTGCACCGTGGACCATTGCATAGGATCCTTGTCTGTACCAATAGTTGGCAAAAAATTCTGCAGACACACACCGCCAACGGTCACCGAGGACCACAGGGGCACTGAACTATCTCCATGCTCGCCAAGTATATAGCCATACACTGAACTCGTAGCCACGCCCAAAATCTGGGCAATAAACAGGCGAAAGCGAGCGGTATCCAAAAGGCAGCCTGTGCTAAAGCAGCGCTCATAGGGTAGATTTGTAACTTTGCGTGCAAGCCAGGTCATCACGTCCGCTGGATTGCACACAACAATATATACTGCTTCTGGGCTTTGCTTTACTAGATCGGGCATAATGCTTCTGATAATGACCGCTGTCTTTTGGGCCATATCTAGACGAGACTCGCCCGGTTTTTGCCTAGGTCCACAAGTGACGACAACCACTCGGGAGTCCTTAGTGGCCTCAATTTTGCCGCCGCATTGCTCAATGTGAGCATCGTTGAGGAACCACGAGCCGTGCAGCAGATCTAGGTGCTCTGAATTAGACAGCTTCTTGTTGATATCATAGAGAGCTATGTTGTTGGTTATTCTTTTCGAAAGTAGGGTTATGGCACAGCTCATCCCAACGGAGCCAGTGCCGACAATCGACACCTTGTTACCCGGTTGAAACTTCTGCTTTTTCAAGCTTTTGTACAGACAACTTCGGAATGCATCCCAGAGCTCTTTGTCTTTATTGCAGTTTGTATTTAAGTTTCTGCTGAATATCGAAGATATCTTAAACAGTCTAGCCACACGAAATCCCATGGTGAAGTATTTGATAATCATAACGAAATTTGCACATCAAATTTTGAATAAATTTTTTAATTTCATAATTTAAAAAAAAAAAAGAACTGATCTGAAATTAAAACATAAGGTTGACACTTACACGCTAGTCTACTAAGTATAACATTCATTTTATTTCATTATTTACAAATTTCTAGTGCAAATTTTAAAATGTAATCGTAGAAAATTACCTTGAAACAATTGTCTGAGTGATTTCGCTTGCAGTCAAGTTTATCTGTTGAATTTTGTTATATTTTTGAAATAAAGCTAATACTTCTTCATATTCAGACCCATTCATATATTACTTGAAAAGTACGCTTATCATGATTAGTTTTGGAAAGTTGGAAGGGAATCAGTGATTTCTGTATTACATTGGCGAATAAGCGTAGACTGAAAATTAGATCTTAATGCTGTTTTGCAAATCGAGCAATATTGCAGCAGACTTTTTGAGCATCTTCTTTTCCCAGTCGGACAGATGTGGATGTATTATGCCATGTAAGCCACACTGATTAACGATACATGGTAGGGATAAAAATATCTCATCCTTGATTCCACACATGTTGGCCACATTAGTTGACAATGACATGATCCGATAGCTGTTCTCAAAGATGGCAGATACAACATCCGAAACAGTAAGGCCAATGGCCCAGTTTGAATAGGCCTTACCAGCCATAACTTGGTAGGTAGATTTCACAACTTCCTTGTGCACATCCGACCAGCACATTGGATCCTCGACAGTGCCAATGTTCGGCATCATTTGGCGCAGTCGTGTACCTCCAATGGTGACCGATGACCACAGAGGAACTGAGTTATCTCCATGCTGCCCCAACACGAATCCATACACCGAAGCCGCTGATACCCCCACCATCTGTGCTATAAGCATACAAAAACGAGAGGAATCCAAATGGCAGCCGATACTAAAGCAGCGCTCGTAGGGTAGATCGGACACCCTGCGTGCCACCCAGGCCATCACGTCGACAGGATCTGCGGCAATAATGAAGACAGCTTTGGGGCTCTGCTCAACGAGTTGCGGTATAATTTGTTTGATCATTTCCGCCGACTCTTGGTACAGTTGCAGACGCGATTCTTTTGGCTTAGCGTGTCTTCCAGTTGTGACTACAACAACTCTCGAGTTTTTGGTACATTCGACACTAGTGCGTTTGTCGATTGAACAATTGTTGAGAAAAACTGATCCGTGTCGGAGGTCATCGTGCTCTGCCCTAATATCGTAGAGGGCTATGTTATTGGTAACGCCCTTGGTGAGCAAGGCAATCGCACAGGCCATTCCCTCGACTCCAGCACCAACGACAGACACCTTGTTCCCAGGCTGGAAGTCTTGCTTTTGAAGTGTTCTGTAAAGAGTCGCGCGAAATGCATCTGGAGAAGACACCAAGTTGCGCGCCTCTTCTTGCTTCTCCTCCTTCTCGTAACCAATAGCATCGTTTTCCTTATTTTTCTTTTCAGCCTCCTTATCTTTATTTTCCGTTGGAGCCGCTTCACACTTTCTCTTCAGTGCCTCATATTCTTTATTTTTCTTTGAAGACTCTTCTTCGCACTTTCTCATTAGTTCCTTAAATTCTTTACATTTCTTTGGAGCCTCATCTTCACAATCTCTCTGCAGCTCCCCATCCTCTTTATTTTTCTTTGAAGACTCTTCTTCACACTTTCTCTTTGGTCTCTGATATCCTTTATATTTCTTTGGAGCCTCCTCTTTACACTTGTTTTTCAGTGCCTCATTTTCTTTATTTTTCTTTGGATACTCTTTTTCACACTTTGTCTCTAGTTCCTCGTATTCTTCATTTTCACTTGGAGCCTCCTCTTCACATTCTCTCTCCTTTGCCTCATATTCTCTATTTTTCAATGGGACCTCCTCTTCACACTTTCTATTCAGTGCCTCATACAGCACATATTTCCTTGGAGTCACCTTTTCATCCTTTGTTTTCGCTGCCTCATATTCTTCATTTTCCTCTGTAGCCTCCTCTTCACATTCTTCCTTCAGTGCCTCATATTCATTATTTTTCCTTGGATCCTCCTCTTCACACTTTCTCTTCAATGCCTCATTTTCTTTGTATTTGTTTGCCGAATTCTTTTCACACTTTCTCTTTGGTTCCTCATATTTTTCATTTTTTCTAGGAGCCTCTTCACACTCTTTCTTTAGTGCCTGCTGGATGATCTTCCTCTTGGCAGATTTCCCACTTGACTTCTTCAGATTATTGTGAATTCTATTTTTGGGTTTGACAATTTTCAATTCGGTGCAAATTTCGTTTTTCACTTTTTTTTCGCAAACTTTTCTAATTTGATCGGTTAGACATTTATAGTGCCGTGATAGTTCTATCAACTCTTTTTCGCTAAATATCAAACAAATATCCGACCACTCTTCATGAATGCATTTTTCTAATTGTAATAGATATCGATTTTTTGGGACACTCAATTTTTTTTGAGTTTGTTTTGTTTTATTCCTTGATTTAGGATCCAAACATTTATTAGACTCCTTTACTTCTGTCGGATCCCCCTGCCTTTTACTAATCATTCGGCTCTCATCTTTTTTCTTCTGGCAATAATTTAAAATCCGCAGAATCTTCTCTCTATTTGCCAGTATTATGCATTTTTTCTCAAGCTTCTTCTCGTTGAGAATCTTGTTTTGGGCTAGCTGCTTGCACTCACGTTTCATTTCATTTCTCAAATGCTCCATCATGTTTTCAGATTGCTTCTTTTCCTCCTCATCCATGCATTGCATCTCAGTGTACAACATTTTCACTTTATTTTCCAAACATTTCTTCATGATCCTTTTTTGCAGTTCATTTTCTTTCCATTTCTTTCTGGCAGCCTCTTGTTTCTCCTTTTCAACTTTCTTTTGGTCTACTGTTCTCCTGTATAGTTCAACAGGACTTTCACTCTCTTTGTCCGAAGAACCAGAGCCCGATTCCTTAGCGTACCATACTCGATGTGATTGGTTTATTGAGTTGAGACTTCTCAACATCGAATTACGCATATATATAAATGTGAATTGAGCAAGAGACATGATGGGTTACCTTAAATTTTGATATCTGAAACTAATTGAGGTTTATAATCACATCATGGGTTTGACTGCATGTCCTTATTTTTAACTGTAAATTTCTTCAAAATACATCAATATTAAATATATTTACTGGAATGTTCAAATATTTTCGCATAACAATTTTCAATTTTAAACTGAGCTCTATGACGATAAAACCAAAACTGTCAAGTTTTTCTATGCAACGCATACTATTTCCTAGTAGTATTTTTTTATGGGAACCTTACTTTCTTTATGTACACTTTCTCAAACTCAACCATCTATTTTCATTTTTTACTTTTACTTTTGTAGAACGAATGCCAAGTGTATAAGTCGATAAAACAAATTTTTATATTGTTTTTTTTGTATGGCTTTTTTGCAATTTCAGCCTGTCCAACCCTCGAGTCAAATTTCAATCAGTGGCTATAAAAACAATGATCGGTGAACGATCAAAACTGCACATCTTTGTACAATTGTTAAGAAAGAACTGGCATTGCCTTGTCGCATTGCAATCTAATAAATTTAAAAATAATTGGATTGATCAGAAATTCTTAGTTTGCATTCATTTATTTCCATTTTACACTAGTTATTTTATAATATAATTCATTCTACGCATGGCGTAATGGTAAGATTCAACTCTCTCAATGTAAAAACTCGGAACTTTACACATCTGATAAAAAACCTTTGTTTTCAATTTAAATATTAATACAGGCTTTGACGGCAAGATTATAGCCAAGTTCGGCAGCCTACTCTTTTCGTCTTATTTCTTTCCACACTTTTTCTTCGATGCCATCTTGGCGCACTTTTTCTTTAGTGCCATCTTGGCGCACTTTTTCTTCAGTGCCATCTTGGCGCACTTTTTCTTCAGTGCCATCTTGGCGCACTTTTTCTTCAGAGCTCGGGCCTTCCGCTTAGCCATCTTTGCGCATTTCTTCTTAAGGGCTCGCGCCTTCTGCTTCTTAGCCATCTTTGCGCATTTCTTTTTAAGAGCTCGCTGCTTCGATTTCTTAGATTTCTTGGCGCACTTCTTCTTCAGGGCTCGTGCCTTCCGTTTCTTAGCCATCTTTGCGCATTTCTTGATCAGAGCTTGCGTTTTTTGTTTCTTAGCCTGCTTGGCGCACTTCTTCTTAAGAGCTTGCGCCTTCCGTTTTTTAGCCATCTTTGCGCATTTCTTCTTAAGAGCTCGCGCCTTCTGCTTCTTAGCCATCTTTGCGCATTTCTTTTTAAGAGCTCGCTGCTTCGATTTTTTAGATTTCTTGGAGCATTTCTTCTTCAAAGCTTTCCCCTTCCGTTGTTTAGCCATCTTCGCGCATTTCTTCTTAAGAGCTCGCGCTCTCTGCTTCTTAGCCAACTTGGCGCATTTTTTCTTCAGAGATTGCTTCTTTGATTTTTTACACTTTTTCTTTGCACTCAACTTCTTACACAATTTCTTCAGCGAATTTTTTCCTTTAGAAGACTGCTTCTTACACTTTTTCTTATTGCGCTGCTTTTTCTGTTTCTTAGCCAGCTTTTTGCACATTTTTTTAATAGATCTTTTCTGTTTCTTCTTTCCACTGGCTGCCTTACACATTTGCCTTATCACTTTCTTTCGGCACATTTTTTCAAATTGTTTACCCATGCATTTGTAAGATCGCGATAGATTTTTCCGTTCAGCTTTCGACATGTCCTTTCGACACTGACAGACATCGGCCCACTCCTTTCGTATACACTTCTCCAATTTCATTGAGTAGACATTTTTGGGTTGACCCTTTTTTAAAAACAGAGGTTGTTTCTTCTTTTTCTTTAACGCTGCACATATTTTTCCCACAGGGTCTGATTTTCTTTTACCACAGTTATCCTTGGACACCCTTACTTTCATTGGTCTTCTAATGGCATCAACGAGACAATGCAATATACATTTGATTGTTTTTTTCCCCTTGTCACCGAAAAATATCCTTTCAATGTTAAAATCATTCCATCCACCTCTAATTATCACTCTCTCCAATTCCTTCAGTTGTGCTTCATTGCGTCCGTGAAATCTACTATTCGCAGATTTACTCAACGATTTTTGTTGCAAGCTATTAAAATATGTCGGTAACTGCCATGTCCGATCCAAATGGTCAGCCAGAAGTGAAAATCCGATAGATGATCGAGTTCGGATTGAAGTGAACCTCAATCGAAATAAAGACATGCTGAATTACCAAAAATTTGTTTTATATTTTTGCCGAATAAGAAAATAAAAATAAATGAATTTTGATGATTTCCAAAAAAAAAAAATTTACATTCTATTTTAATTTTGGTTCGAGAACTGAACTGTACGAAAGGCGAGAATATTTGTGTCTGAGCTGTAACGAAATCCAGCATCAGAGGGTAGCTAGGATTTAGAAACGACTACTAGATTTTCCAAAACATTTTAAAAATGTTGTTGTATTACTAGTTGAGTGAATACAATGAAAAATGTTTCTCTTAACTCTTTGGCTCTTTTATGGCACTTTTTGAATCACAAACATGACTTTCTTTTAGCAGGGAAAATTATGCCTGTGTGGAAGCTTCTTAAAGATACACATTAAACATAGCGGCCTCGCCTAGACAACAATTTGAAGGCACTTTAGTGCAGCATAATAAAGCAATTAAAGTTTACCGCCCCAGAAACAGTAAAGAAACGCATAGGCGGAAAATGTCGCATGGCGGAATGTGGAAAACGACATAAAGTCCCAATTCACACAAACAAACATACACACGCATTCATATATTCACACACACAGAGAATAACAATAAACTGAGCATTTTACACATGTGAACAATTAAAATATAAACGTGTCGAACAAACATGGGCATCAGGACGCAGACTCCATCTCAGGCTCAGGCTCCGATTCGCATTCAGTGATAGTGCGCAGAGTGATCGACTAGGCAATATTCTGTATCCGTCTGTGCATTTCCATATCTTACATGTGCTGTTGTATACCCAAATCAACTTCATAACTTCAGCTCTCTAGAACAGACCTCCTCAAATGGATGGATCGACTAACTCTCTCACTTCCACGCTCTCTCTCTCTCTCTCTCTCTCTCTGTCTATCTATGTTCTCTGGTACATGTGCACAGCTTCTTAACACACTCTTAACCCATTTTAATGAGTACAGGGTACAAAAGCAAGTTGCGCAAAATTAATAGAAACATAAAGAAATTTAAGTATAAAATGTTGCCAACGCACACACGTAATTGCGGCGTAAGTTTCGAGTGGGTGTGCTAGTAAGTGTGTGTGGCATGGTCTGTGCAGCCTGGTGTGCTGCAAAATGTTAAAGTATACTTATGTGAGCCACTGTCAGCCAGTCTGGCAGGCAAGCAGACAAGCAGCTAGGCAGGTTGGTGGTCGTCAGCCAGGTTGGCTCGACGTTGTCTGCCGTTGTCTGCTTGACGGCGCATGAAGTGAAAATTAATTTCTAAATGCGGGAAATTAACAAATTACAAACAACGCGTCGAATGGGCGGTGAAGGGGCAGCAGTTGGTTGAAGCAGGCAGGAAGTAGACATGCCATAATTTACACATACGCACACACACACACACATACACACCCACAGACACAGCCCTCCGCACACATAGTTGGCGCATTCATGGGCAGCACCAAAGTTCACTTTGGAAGGGCGTTGAAGGGGGGAGGCAAGTGCCAAGGTGTTGAAGCGCAGGTGAGATACATTGTCTTACTTTTGCCTGTCAGCCATTAAGTTGTAGTCATATTTCTACACACACTCTGTCTCTCTCCCACTCTCTCTCTCTCTCCCTCTCTCTCTCTCTCGCTCTCGCTCTCGCTCTCTGTCTCTCTGTCTCAACCCGCTGACAGTTGACAGCTTTGCTAATTTTCCAGCAGCCACCCACCGAAAATGAAGTTGGGCGTTTGTCTTGCGCTGTCAACGTCTCTGGCGCTGGCATGACAGTTCCACTCCCCACATTTAGCCAACTTCCACAGTGCCCCCGTTACACCTGGCACCCACCCAAACCACCAGAAACCACAATCAAGCTGCGGCCGCCTTTTCAACATTTAATTAAGCTGTGCTCGATTTTATGTTCGACAAAATTGTTTGTCTGCCGCCTGCACTTGCTGTTGCCTACTTTAAACCTGAAGAGTCAACGTTGCGGTATGTGCGTGTGTGTGTGTGTGTGTGTGTGTGGGCGGGTGGGCATGAGTATGTGTGGGCGTGGCATGTGCTTGTCATGCCGCGTTCGTGAATGTTACTGGCGGCGTTTGCCTTCCGCGTCATTTGTCAACATTTTTTGCGGCCAACGCAAAGATTTTAAAATTGTTGTCAACAAGTTGAGAAATTAAGTGCTGAGAGTTGCAAATATTTGGAAAGTGCTTGTAGAAGAAATTAGTCAGAAATATAATAAATACAGAATGCTAAAGAGCAGCGTGAAGGAATTCAATAAAAGGAAAAGTTAACATATATTAAAACAAATGTAACTTTCTCTTTAAAAAAAAAAACTTAAATAACAAATCATTTATGGTGCTTAAAATTTCATATAGTCAAATGACATTGGTAAAATAAAGTCTAGTGTTGAGTCTCGTCTCTAACTCAATGGAAAACCATTCTCCTCATCTGGCATAACGAAAAAAAAAGTGAACCTTTTTTGATTTGCGGCTAGGTTTGTGCTGTCTATTGTCGTTCCTCCTGGCAACCGTCGTCTGAGAATTGTGTTCGTCTTAAAGCCTTCATTTGCGCCATTGTCAGTGTCACCTAGACAAAGACATACACACATCACTGTATTTATGTATGTATGTCTAGCCCAAGTAGAAGTACTAGTTGTGAAAGGGTTTGAGGAATATTTTGCTCATTCATCAGTCGGTGCTCAGCCCACTGGCGGCATTCATTCGTGCACTCATTTAGACATTTACTGCGCATTTGGCATTGTTAACTACTCGCCTGCAGTTCCCCCACTCTGCCCCCATTCAGCCCATTTTCCCAGATTTAGCTTGTTTTTCTTTTAGCTTGCTTTTATTTTTTTTTCTGTTGATTGTTGCACAAGGATTTGTCAAGGATAAAACACTCGAGGGCAGTCGTCTCCATGATTATGTCTATGTCTATGCTTATGATGTTGTTTTTTTTTTTCCTGTTGTTGTTGCTATTTGGTTATACATTCAGCAGCAGCGTTACCAGCTGCTTGAGTTTAAGGTTAGATTGAGTCTGTGGCGCCATCAAAGCGACATTGTCGTTGCTATTGTTGTTGCTGCTGTTGCTGCTGCTGTTGCTGCTGCTGCTGATGCTTGTTTCTCCTCACCTTCTTCCGTTTCGCTGTGGCGCATTATAAAACAGTTATTGATTTTACAATATGAAATGCAACTCTGGCGCCCAAACTGCCGACCGGCGGACGGCCTTGAGTTCTCTACCATGATATTTGGCTTTAGTGCTTCAAGTAACAAGCTGCAACTCTTGTTGGGATAATGATGATATTGCATCTTCAGCGTTCGAACATGTTGCGCAATATTCTTAATATGGAATGGAAGCATTGATAATGAAAACGTAATGGAAAGTCTTTAGAATGACTTTCCCACTCTTTAACTTTGTCAAGTCTGCACCAGTTGTTGTAAAGTCAGAGCTTTCTAATCATGGTTCGCCTTTGAGTTGAAAATTGGATTCCGACTCGATTTTCATCCCAAAGTGCTCGTATGGATGGGTCGAAACTTCCCATTGCCATATCTCTGACTAGAATTTCATGTTAAAATTAAATCCTCAAATATTTGCCATTGCATTGTCCTAAGTCAAAACTTTCAAAAACCATAATTTTGCCAAAAGTGATCAGATTTATTATTTTATTATTTTCAAAGTTAGAGTCTCCTCTCATTGTCTCTGTATTTGAGGAATATGTTAAACTGTGCATTGCTGTGGCCGGATCTTTAATCGACTCAATTCCGCTGTTTTACAAATTCATTTGGCAAATAATTTGCGATAAATTGAGAGAAGCAGCTGACGCAAATATATATATATACATATATAAACTGTGACTGTGACTGTGACCGCAGTCAGGAAAGAGAGAAACACAGACACAGTTGCGGTTGCCAAATTATTTGCGACGGGTTTGTGTCTGTGTGTGTATGTGAGTGTGTGGGCGTGGCATGTGGTTAGTTAAACAAAAATGCTGCGGCTGGGACACAGACACACCCAGATCGAGTCAGAAAACTGGGTCAATTGGGCGAAATTTGTCTCTCGTCGGCCAGACAGCATTAAAGCCAACAAAATGTACCTAACATATTTTTACGGCTGCCACAAACACGACACGAACATAACCAGCAACAGCAACAACAGCAACAACAGCGACAACAACAACGACGACAAGAACAATGGCAATAACCAAAACTCAAGCAGCAAGTCAAAAGTTCAAATTTAACGATAGGAACCAAAAAGTGAGAAGCAAGTTTTTCGCTGAAGCATCGGGCTTTCAGCTTCCTGCTTGCGCCAGTACTCTCAAATGGGAATCTCTCCCACAAGGCAGCCTGCCACCCGGCCTCCCGGCCTGGCTGCCACCTGTTCCGCTTGATTGTGCCCCGGTTGGCTCCCTCATCATGAAAGGTTAATGACGGCTGCTGTCAGCAGCGAAGGTCAACCCACCCACCCCACAGCAACAGCAACAGCAACAGACTAAGCACCTACCAACCCACCCCGCCCACTCATCAAACTCAGGGACCTCCTGTATGCCCTACCCCGTTCCACAGCGTTGCTATCGTCCCTATCGTTCTTTGTTGGGTCAAGCATGCAGCAGGTAAAAGTTTTGTTTCATGGGCCCAAAGTGTAACAAAAATACCAGCAGTGGGTGGAGCTAGGTTGGCGGTGCGGTGTGGTGCGGCTGGTTGGCAACTCTACTCCACGCTTGTGCTAAATAGCAGCGCTGCTCCTTCGGGGTATGGCTGGGGACACCATCGAGCGTAAAAGTTAAATGAAACGAAACACGTTAATGGCCTCTGAGCTCAATGTGAACAGGCGCGGGGGATGTAAGAGACGGCAGGGCGGGAGTGTGGCAAGTGGCAAATGGCAACTGGGAAGTGGCAGGTGGCTGGCTAAAGTTAAAGCTCAGCCTCGCTGCGAGGAAAGTGAAATTTTTGAACTAGTTAGCAGCAGCGCTTTCTCCCACCTCTTAATTCGTTTGCCCGCATTTTGGCATAGGGGGCGTGGTCGCTGTCATTGAGCTGCTATAATAAAATGATATCGTTGGCTTAGTTAAGTAGCAATAGGTTGCTTGTTGCCGGGGAAAGGCGACCCGTGAAAACTCGTTGCCGCCGAATCTCAATCAGAGCGGACGCCTCTTTGCCTCTGATATTAAGTTATTTGGGCTATTTAAGAGCCGAAACGAGTGGACGCCTTTGTTACTCAC